CGGCGCCGCCTTCCCGTCCGGCCTGTTCTGAACTCGGGCAGCCTCCCCACGGCGCGTCCCTCCCAGGTCCCCTAACCCAGCCCCAGCTCCACGTGGTGACTTCCTTGGCGAGGGCCTGGGGGCAAGGCTGTCAGGCTCTTGTCTATCCTTCCCACCCCCGCGGCAGCCTCCCTCGCTCACTGTGGTCTTTCCCGAGTGTCAGGCCGGCCTCTGCTGTCCCTACCCCACGCACACGTGGCAGCACAGCTGGACACGCACACCCTCGGAGACTCCCCCGCCGCCTCAGGCCTGGCCCACTGGGTCTGGTCCGCGGATGTTTCCAGGGAGTGCGCCCCCCACGCAGCTGTCCTCCCAGCCCCTGCCCAGGATGGGGGCAACACTGCACACGATGAGCCAGCCCCTCTCGGGGGACCAAGCGTCTGCTTCCCTGACTCCTGCAGGGGAGGGGGCGAGACGCGCCGTCGCCACTGGCACATGCCGCCTGTTCTTGGAACTATGCAAAGGGCAGAGGCCGGGAGTTGAGGTGCTGGGCTCCCACCCCTGTCCTACCTCGACGGGGCACCTTCGGGGCCAGGGGCCTCTGTCTCTAGGCCACATGGGACAATCAATCCTAAGCTCCCCGTCCCCTCGGGTGAGGATGACTGTTATTTTTGTAGCTGAGAACGTGGAATCCCACGGGTTTTTACTGCCCTTTGCCCGGCCGCCCACGTCCACCCCTCAATGAATGTATTTATTGTGAGAACGGCTAAGCTTCTCCAGGAATGCCGCGTGCCACCCAGGTGGGCGGGCAGGCATGTGAAAGGGAAGCCTGGGCTCAGCTCCTCCCCGTTGGTTAATAAACACCCTCTTTCCTCAGCTGAGTGGTCTGCTTGGTGTGGCCTGGCCCAGCCCTGGTCAGCAGGTAGGCTCCCGAGCCTAGGGAAAAGGTCCTGCAGGGACTGGTGCCACGGCTGGCTGGAGCTGGCCCTGCTCCCAGTCCAGCCATCTGCAGGCACGCAGGTCCCTGGCATGCATGCGCAGAGGCCCTCGTGTGAAGGCACTGGGGCAGGACAAGAAAGTCAGTGAGTCTGAGAATTCTTCCAACAGCTTCCAGATTTTCTCTTCCTCTCATTTCCACACCATCTCTCCCTTTTTATTTTATTGTTTTTGGTTCAGAGGTTTACTCGTCACCAAGGCTGGAGTACAGTGGCATACTCATGGCTCACTGAAGCCTTCATCTCTAGGGCTCAGGTGATCCTCCCACCTCAGCCTTCCGAGTAGTTGGGACTACAAGCATGCACCACCACATCCAGCTCACTTTCAGACTTTTTTTTGTACAGATGAGGTCCCGCCATGTTGTCGGGGCTGGTTTTGAACTCCTGGGCTCAAGCAATCCTCCTGCCTCGGCCTCCCAAAGCGCTTGGGACTACAGGTGTGAGCCACCGCACCTGGCCGTCCTCTTCAACAGCCCCTGCCCGGCCCAAGGGAAGACGGATTCATTTCTGCACAAGGAGGGGCCTGGAAAAAGGCGGGTGTGCAAGTGGAATGAGGAAGGCTCGTTACCAGGACCTGGTCTGACCCTCCAGGGGTCAGGCCTCTAAGACTCTCCGCCCCGAAGGACTAAGTTCTGCTTCTCCTTTTAGAATAATGAAAAACGGGGCTTACGTTTAAAACAAGCACACGCTTCAAATCCTCAGGTGTGACCATAAGTTTATTAACCTACTTTCTCACCTACACACAAACGTTCACACAGAGGTGAGGCGCCTTGCCCAGTGCCAATCTCACAGCAGAAACGGCTCTCTGGCTCGATAACTGTACCAACACGGCCTCAGCGACACTGCAGGAGCCAGCCTGGAGAGCCTCAGTGTCTGGAGAGCACCGTTGCCAGTTGGAAACCAAGGACCCCATGAAACCCTCGAGGGCCGCCTCGGGCGGCAGGGATGCCAGCTAGACGGGCATCGGGGCCTCACGCGGTCCCTGCCCCGAGCAGGCGGCTCCTCCGTGCCCAAGCAAAGCCTGGAGTCAGCGTCCCGCGGGGCGTCAGGACGGCCGCCCGGGCTTGGAATCCCGGAGGAAGAGCGGGCTCCAGGAGTGCCGGTCCAGAGCCCGGGCCGCTGCTCACTGGGCCGAGGCGGGCTCCGGGGGCTCTCGGGGGCGCCGCCCGTGGAGCGCAGTGGGCTTGTTGGTGAAGGGGTGCCACTGGCCCTGGACGCTGGGGCTGTCGGTGTGGAAGGGCTTGCGGATGCGGATCACGTCCAGGCCCGACTGGCCGGCCAGCTTCTGCACCAGCGCCGAGATCTCCGCGGCCGACTTGCAGTGGACGCTCTCCTCGCGCACCGCGCCGTTCACTGGCGGGAAGGGGGC